AGGCGGATGGCGCGCAGGCCGAGCCGCAGCACGGCATCGTACTTGAACACCAGCTTGTAGAACGCTTCGGTCATGAGGGCGCCGCTGGGGTCGGCGTGCTTCAGCGCGGCCATCGGCGTGTACGCCACGTTGGTCTGGTGCCGGAAGGGGGGCCGGGCCGCCTCGATCACCCGCAGTGTGTGCTGCATGGGGGACGTTACTGTCCCCTTCCTGTCCTTGACCCCTCTTCCTCCCTATCCTGTCTCCATCCTCATTCCCATCCCCATTCTCAGTGCATTCCTATCCCTGTCTCCATCCCATCTCCTTTCCATCCTATTTGCATCCCATACCCATCAGCAACTCCATTCCCATCCCATCGCTTCACATCCTATCTCCATCCACATTCCCATCCCAACCCCATCTCTTTTCCATCCCCATCCAATCCCCATTCCCATTCCCGTCTCCATCTCCATCCCCATTCCCATCTCCATCCCCATCCCCATTCCCATCCCCATTCCCATTCCAAAATCCCATCCCATCCAACCCCCATCTCCAACCCCATTCCCACCTCCATCTCCATCTCCATCCCCATCTCCATTCCCATTCCCATTCCCATTCCCATTCCATCCAATCCCCATCCCTATCCCCATCTCCGTTCCCAGCTGGGCCTGAGGGAGAAGGATTTGTTGGGGCAGGACCCCTCCCCACTGGCATCTGGGGGTTGCTGCCCCTCATCAGTGCTAATTGAGGCTGCTGTAAAGAGCCCAGCCCAGTCAGGGGCTGCCAGGCAGGGGGGGGGGAGAAGGGCAGCTCCCAGCCTGGTGGGACCACCCATCTGTCACCTCTGCGATGTCCTCGGGGGTCTGTCCCAGGCTGGCAAAGACGTCCTTGGAGTTCCGCAGGTAGAGGTTGGTGAAGATGTCGGCCGTCTCGGGGTCAGTCCGCGAGTAGTCGGCGCGTTTGGCTTCCTCGTACAGCTTCACCTCGAACTCGGTCGTCACCGGCCCTGGCTCCACCAGGCTGATCCTGCCCGGGGATGGGGCGTTGGGGACTCTGGTATCCCCCAATCCCCCCTGTCCCCCCAGCC